GACAGACGTGTTTGAGAGCGCCGATCTTGTGTAACAAAATCCCTCTCCACAAAAAGGGCTACGGAGAAAAACCCACCTGAGACAGCCCTGGATGCTAAATCTTGCTGATCTTAGATCAGAGTAGAGGGAGTTCTGCAGGGAGAAATACAGAGAAACAGACAACTACAAAGGAGCAGAATAACAGATTGCGGAGCAGTTCCTGAGATTACAGAGGAAAGGGGGAGAAAAAAAAGCGTAGTCAGACACAGGAGGAAACTGAAGACGAGATGCTGTTTTTGCACCTTCTTTGCTCTCACGCATCGTAAGAGTGCGCTTCGAGACGTCGAAGGCTATGTGGCGACACTTGCATGATGATGCAATCAGTATCTTTGATCCGGTCTCTTGGTGTAATCATGTTTCTTGGACAAACTTAATGGCCAAGTGTCAGGCTGAGAGCGGAGAGGCTGTGATTGGAATCAAGTGAGTAAATGCATGAAGGTGGCTGAGAATTGGACACATCTGACACGATCAGAGAAGAGGTGTGGCTCTGCAGACATCTAAGTGTTTCTGGATTAACCACTGGCCACGGGGGCTATTGATGTTATCGAACAGAGAGGCTAATGAAGGGAGTCCTTCCAAGGTGTCTGACTGCATTGGTTGGTGTGCTCGCAGGACAGGCAGTGCTCAGTGGCAGAAGTTGAAGAAATGCAGGCATTTAATCTTAAAAAAAGGGAGACTTTCAATGTTTGGAGAGTTGCATTGTTAGGAGGGCTCTGATGGGCTCTGGGAGTGTTGGGAACAGAAAGAGGTTTTTAAAGAGACAGAGGACAATCAAGGCGTTTCAATAGAAAAGTGATTTTTGATGCAGCATTTTCATTACAACTGAAGGTAATACATTTACTTGACTGTGGCACAGAACTGAATATGTGCCTGGAAAATATATAATACCCCACCACCCCTTTAACAGCTGATTTAAGATCAAAGTAGATTTCTGCCATTTTAAAAGAACTCCAGTCTCGTAAAATATATAAACTATTACACTGCCATCAATTTTGCATTGCATGACAATTTTGACAGAAATGTTGCTACAGGAAGTGCCTCTGATTGCACTGGAAATACTGTTTAGACATGCAAATAACAATAATAAATCTATGTTAATAGTATGGGTGTCGAACCGTTCAATACAGTGCTTCAGGTTCAACATGCACTTGTATCGAACAATACAGATTTTTAAAAATAAAAATTTTAAGAGAAATTTTTTTAGTAAAAAAATTTTATCAACTTGTCTTGTGAAGATGCTCTGTGTTGAAGGCTCAGTGGATCTGTGTTCGACTACTCCACCTAGGCTGTAGTGTCGAGCGCACATCCGCTGAGAAACTTGCTGTTCATTTCATTTAAAAACTTAAATTTTGAGGTTAAACAAATGTTCATAATTAATTTCAATAAATTACAAGTTAAGCAGGGCATGGAAATTTCTCTTTTGTGTAACAAAAAATATCGAACCGTGAGACTAAAGTATCGAACTGAACCAAATCGTGAACTTTCTGTATAGTTGCATCCCTAGTAAAAAGTTGTGTGATGTAAACCTGATGATGATGCATGTGTTTTTAAAGTAAAAATCACATAAAATACAAAAAAAGAGATTAGAGTTGTTTTAAAATGACAGCACATTACTTTGTGCTCAAGCATGCCAGAGTGACTAACTGTTAGCAGTGTTGTATAAAGTACCTCAAAGTGACACTTGAGTAAAAGTGCAAGTATCTTATCATAAAAATACTTTGGTAAAAGTTAAAGTCTTCTATAAAAATATTACTTGAGTAAAAGTCTTAAAGTATCTGATTTTTTTGTACTTAAGTATCAAAAGTAAATTTCTGACACAAAATCTACTTAAGTATTAAAAGTAAAAGTACTGAGTAAAAGTGAGCAGTTAGATTTTCCAAAATGACATTTATTGGGAGGTGACTTCTCCAAAAATATATTTTTTCTAACGGCGTGCAGCTGTGATGTTGTGTACAATGTGTACATATCATTTGTGTGTCAGAATGATATATAATTATACTTCTAATACAACCACAATTAAATTCACTCTATCCAGGAGACACAATTTATCAGGATAGTATTTTTTTTTAAGTAATAACAACTTGGAATAAAATAGGAGTAACAACTTTCTACTTCTTACCTTTTTAAAAAATGTAGTGAGTAGAAAGTACAGATAATTGTGTAAAAATGCAATGAGTAAAAGTAAAAAGTAGGCTGAAAAATAATTACTCAAGTAAAGTACAGATACCCAAAAATTCTACGTAAGTACAGTAACAAAGTATTTGTACTTAGTTACGTTACAACTCTGATATTTCTTGCTTTTTATTTCTTATATTTTTTGGCTGAATGGCAATGTTATGCTAAAACATCACCTCCTGTAAGCTGTTGATGAAATAGTAAACTCAAAGAACTGCTCAGTACATTAAAACATATATTGAAGCTGATTGAGCAGGGTAATTTGTGCAAAAATCTGATTCTGCTTCCAACTGATAGTATCTGTAGCATGCTTTATAGCAGTGGTTCCCAATCCTGGTCCTCAAGGACCCCTATCCAGCATGTTTTACTTGTTTCCCTGCTATTCAGCAGGTCTTTAGAAGATTGTTAATCACTCATTCATTCAAACCAGGTGTGTTAAATCAGGGAAACATGTAAAAATCACTGCTTTAAATGTTGACCAACACCTCAAGAGCTTCTCTGAGCTTAATGAGACATTTTCAAAATATAATATTGACTCAGTTTTATGTTTTTTAGTGTTGCCTCTGGAAGCCATTGATTCTTTGCCATTTATTTGTAAATAATAAATCAGATAACATGTGTTAAAGCAGTGATTCTCCACCCTGGTACTCAAGGACTCCTTTCCTGCATGTTTAGATGTTTCCCTGATTTAACACACCTGGTTTGAATGAATGAGTGATTAACAATCTTCTGAAGACCTGCTGAACAGCAGGGAAACAAATAAAACATGCAGGATAGGGGTACTTGAGGACCAGGATTAGGAACCACTGCTTTATAGAAAATATTGGTTTTCTTGGGGTGGCCCTGAGCCCTAGAGAGAGCTCTGGGGTGACCAGTTGTATTTTCATGAAGAAGGGTTTAAATCTGAACAACACTGCCGCCTGCTGGCTTAAAAAGTAAATGGTCCATTACACTCGATGTTTGTAGGCAAGAGGGAGGTATAAAAATAAATTGTTTTAAAGCATTCCAGTTTTTTGTTTGTTTGTTTGTTTTTTAAATTGGTTTCAAAGGAGGCTAATATTTAAAAATGTTGTGATCAATTGTTTTTATACACACTGTGTTGCTTTCAAAGTATGGATCAGAGACATACGTATAATGCTCAATTGAACACACCAAACTTCAGCCAAGTAGCCTATCTGTAAAACTGGCTGAGTTGCAGGCATTTTTCATATTTTCATGTCCAAAAGTTAATTCCAAAGCTTAAGGTAATTTTCTAACAGTGATTGGTATTTGGACTACGTGTTGTGAGTGGCTCTCAGCTACAATCACACCAAATGTTACCCTTTGACTTCAAATTTTCCAGGTATTATTTTAATTTGTATTAATTTGTATTAATATTGTAAGGTATTATCTTAATTTGTCCTGATGAAAGCACCAAACCAAGTACTCCAGCTGAACTTACCCACAAAGTGATCATGCAATAACTGCTAATGTTTGAAATTTGGGAAATGGGTTGCAAAATGGTGCCTTTCACACCATCTCTCATCCTATCCTCATCGACCGACTAACCTCTATCGGCATCTCAGACACCACCCTGGACTGGTTTAAATCCTGTCTTTACGACCGTACTCAGTTCATACAGCTCAAGTCCTTCCGCTCCCAGTCTTCACCCATTTCCACCGGTGTTCCCCACGGTTCTGTACTCGGGCCTCTACTTTTCGTAATCTATCTGCTTCCACTTGGCCACATCTTCCGTAAATTTGGTGTCCATTTCCACTCTTATGCCGACAACACTCAGCTCTACATTTCAGCAAAACCGAACTCCACCTTACCATCCTCCACCCTTACTGACTGCCTCAGTGAGCTCAACAACTGGTTCTCCAACAATTTCCTCCAACTAAACAATAACAAGACTGAACTCCTCCTTGGTGGGACAAAAAACTCAATTTCGAAATCCCAACATCTTCTCTTCATGCTTAACTCCTTTCTTTCCCCCTCGCCTCAGGTCAAGAACCAAGGTGTCATCCTTGACACCACATTCTTTCACATCCCACATTAACAACGTGACTCAATCCGCCTACTTTCATCTTCGCAACATTAACTGTCTCCATCCTTCACTCACCCCCCGCTCCACTGCCATCCTTGTACACAGCCTAGTAACATCCAGGATCGACTACTGCAACTCCCTACTGTTTGGCCTCCCCAATAAATCTCTTCACAAACTACAGATGCTTCAGAACTCAGCTGCCTGTGTAATCACTCAAACCTCATCCTCGGCCCACATCACTCCAGTCCTACAGCAACTCCACTGGCTCCCAGTTAAATCCCGCATCATATTCAAAATTCTCTTTCAAAGCTTTCCACAACCTTTTCCCTCCTTACCTGTCTGACCACCTAAACATCTCCACATCCTCCCGCTCTCTAGATCTGCCTCCTCCCTCCAACTCTCAGTACCCCCTGCCCACCTCAGCACCATGGGGAGCAGAGCTTTCAGCCGCTCTGGAACTACTACCCCATGGATTACGCAATACCACCTCTCTCTCCCTGATTAAGACTGGCCTAAAGACACATCTTTTCAGATTAGCCTACCACTGTTAACTCCGATTTACTGGTCATTTTATCTCAAACTATATCTGTTCTGTACTCCTCATTTCTGTTTCTCCCACACTACCCTTTCATTCAATGTATCTACTTTTGTTTCTTACTATTGTAGTGTCCTTGGGTGTCCTGAAAGGCACTTTATAAATAAAATGTATTATTATTATAAAACTAATCATCTTGACAAACATTTTAATTTCAGTCACAAGTTGAAGCATTTTCTCAAATACGATTTTTATTTTTTGTATCCATGGTAAAATCACTATATTATCATTAATACAGAGTTTATTTGTATTGAAATATGCTATACAAGTGTAATCAGATCACACCTGCCAAGGTGTTCAGTACAAAAGGCCATCTGAATGACAGCCTTATGGAGTTTGAGGAAATAAAAACATCCAGCTGGTAGATGCTTGTGGGAAAAAAAAATACAAAAAGACAATTATTACTGAGCATGTTACAATAAAAATTAAAAAGCACAAGTTATTAGTAAAATAAGAATGTAATAAAAAAATGTGTTAATGTGACGAAAGGATCCTGATCTGTAGCTCAATCAGGCTGAAAAAAAAAAAAGCTGTTTCTGCCTCCCAGCAGGACAGTAAGTCAAGCCTGAAGGTTCACAGTAGCACCAGTTGGCATGTTGGTGTTTTTCTTTGTGGGTGCAGGTTTAAGTTTTATACAGGTGGTAAAAATAAAAAAATAAAAAAAAGAGATTTCTTAAGTGACTCAATGTTTGCAATAGGCCAAAGGATAACCACTGTTCATAGTATTAAGTGGCACCAGTAGTGACTAGTGCTTTATTTAGCCTCTTTCAGCATTAAAACAGCAAATCAACATGCAACAATGGATTTGGAAAGATCATGCAGAGGAAAGTTAAATTTAAAACAAAAGTTAAAACTGTCCCTGATGAAGGCCTTTAATGCTGAGCGAGTCACTTAAACAAAATGTCCCAAAACAAACTGAGTCACAAACCAATTCATTTCATTCTAATCCACTGGAGAAAAAAAAATATTCAAAAATACATTAATGTAATATTTTAACAACTTCCTGAACTGAAAAATGATTCAACACCAGCAGTGATGGAAACATTTCCAGCTCTCCCTGATTGGCATTAGTGGTTTAAGTTGTAATCAGATTACGGACAGCAGCTCTTAAAGTAGTTCTGTTTTATCATTTTAAAAAAAAATACAGTTACCCAGATCTGATCAAACTACATATGGTAGATCTGTCAATATTACTACACACATTATTTCACTTGATGTATTAAGATCCAAACGCATAAACATTACAGTCAAAACTGGGCTTCATTGGAGTCACTACATCCAGGTGAATAACCCCAAAAAGGTCCAAACTTATTGTGTTCATCAACAACAGTTTGATAACCATTTCAAAGCGACAATACGTCACATCAGACTAAGAAGTTACAAGAGTTTAAGTGATAGAAGGGGGAAATATATAGTTTAACAAAGTTTAAATCAGCTGTTTACAGAGCATCTTCTTCCTGTAAAAGGTTAATGTCAAACAGCATCGTTTAAAAACTAAAGAAAGGTGCAGACCAAACACAACTAACAAATCTGAAGGTGTTTCTAGCTGCTTAAGTAACAGTACATTGCTTTATTTGCACGTGTGTCTGTAATATATCTAACGTTTGGCAAAACTGGCACAACTGGGTAATATTTCAGTTTAAGCTCTTCGGTGACAAATGATATGTGCAAATATTAAAGTAGTTTATAAAAATATAAACAGTACTCCAAAGTAAAGAAAACCAAATATCAAGAAGAACTCAAGAGTCCAGTAGAGTTTGGTTAGTTTAGAGTAAGTGGTTCATGAAAAGGCCATTTTCCAAGACTGGAGGGTCTACATTAAGAACTGTGGACCACGTCCTTCTCAAAAGGCAGAAAGAAAAAGTATGAAAAGTGTTCATGACATTGTTCTTATTGCATGAACACATTTTATGTTGTTAGTGGACTCTGAGTCATACAATGTGCAAGGTTAAAGATGGTTTAAAACAAAACAAAACAAAACAAAAAAGGAAGCAAAAAAGAAAATGATTAAAACTTCAAGGTCTGTAGGTGTGGAAAGAATGGCATGAGTGGTCCTGGGCAAACCGGAGGCCCAGGGAGAAAGGACCTTGATTATGAGAAGTCAGCCACCGCATAATCAGTTTTATGAAAATGGACACCATTTCTTGTTTTCTCTTTTTTTTTTCTATTTTATTTCGAGCACATCTATAAGTTGACCAGCTCATGTGCAACAAACTGTTTGAGCCTCTCCAGGTATTGTCCGTAGAGCTCCACATCATTGTGTCCAGCCCCCTCCACCCAGAGGGGCTCCACGGGGCGCTGACAGCGTTCGTATAGAGCCAGGCCATGGGAGAAGTCAATGACCTCGTCCTCCGTACCGTGGATCACAAGGACCGGTGAAGTTACCTTGGAAATCTTGTCAATGCTTTGAGATTTAAAAAATGAAAAAGAGAGAACAAAAAGGACATTAAAACAGTAAATTAAAATGTGACAGATTTAATTTTAAGAGTAAGCAAGAAAAGGACAAGTAGCAATACTTCACCACTAGATGGTGCTGCTGACAATCTTATCAGTAAAGAAAAGCACTTCCAGACTAAAACATGTTCTCATGTGTGTCTCTTTTCCCCTGATGGACAGTGTGTGTGCTGCAGTTTTGAGTGTCTTGAACCCTAAACAGAAGGTGGCGTGTTTTTAGGTGGATGTCACATGCATCCCACACATGCCATATGTTCACTCACTTTGGAAAGGCATCAAAGCAGTAGGTCTTCTTGGTGTCAGGGAAAGCCACTCTCATGCCAGAGGTGAGCGGGGAGTGCAGGATGACTGCAGCACTCTCATAGCGAGAAGCTAGGTCCACAGAGGGCACTGTGCCAATGCTCTGACCATACACAATCACGTTCTCTGGACGGATGCCGTATCTAGGAGAGAGGACAGACAAAAAAAAAGAAAAAGAAAGAAAACACTGAGCTTATTTCCATCAGTAAGATTGTATTTATGGTACAAGGTAACAAGCTCTGACACTGGCAAGGCTCCAGTAAGGCCATTAGTCAGTTATTAAAAACTGATTGACAAGAAGAATATAAAACAAACAGTTTATCTCAACTCACAGACTAGAATACACCAGACTAGTTATTTGTTCAAAATTTATTTTTACTCATTAATAAGTAAATTCATATTTATAAGCTTTTGATCCTGCAACCCGGAAAGGAAAAATCAGGTAAATAAAATGGATGCGTTAGGATGAGGAGAAACATCAAGAAGAGCTGTTTAAACATTTAAACAAGTCAAAGCCAGGCTGATTTTAGAGAGGGCTCATCATTGTGGTCTCATGATGGAGCGAGGAGAAAAATGAGGAAAAACAGGGCGAAGCAGACAACACAGGCTTCAGGGCGAGGGATAAAAGAAAGAGGCAAAAAGGAAAAGAAGACATTCCTCAGCTGATTATAGCCAACGTGGCTCACTGTAGCAAGCAGTCAGCTGACGACCTGAAACCTACTTGGAGAACACTGCAACACTGTCTCTACTGCCGCATGGCTGAGCTGTGCAAAACAAACGGTTAAAAACAGCTTGACAAAATGCCTGCTCCCCTCTGTTATTAAAGACGCAAACTCCAACATTACAGGCTTAACATTACAGGCTATAAAACCTATAATACACAGTGATAAATACATGAACACTTGAGTCTGGCAACACTTGAAACTGGTGTGATAGATTACCATACGCATGTTTTAAAAAAGGGAACAACCTATTTTAATGTAGGTTTGCTGCTACAAAAAGAAAAACACTTTAAGCGGAGCAACAAAAACTTGAAACAAAACATGAAAATGTACACTTGTTTTTCTGACTTATAGACGCATCTCAGCAGGAATAAAGAAAACTGTTTTACTGTCCGTATGTCGTATAAACAGTGTTGAAAAAACTGGCACAGCACAGGAAAGAGGGACTGCAGACTGATGAACACTGAGGGGTAGCTGAGGTCTCAGGTATTCATCATGAGACACTGCTACTTATTTTACTGCTTATGGATTTTAAAAAGAAACTGTAATAAGTTGTTGCAGCACTTTGTGGCTTTTAAGCTTCAAATGATTTTAGTGCATTTCCAACATTCGCAAGCTTTATCAACTTTGATACAGTTTAGTTTATGTCTGCTCAAAAGATGGCAGCCACTTCGGAAATTTTAAACTTTAGTCCCTCAAAACAGTCTCTAGAGTACAAAAGACTGGGCAAGAATTCAAGTTCTAGATACAAAAACCATACAAGAAAGATTTAAATCCATAGGAGTCGAACTTCGTAAAGGAGCCTCTTGCCAATAGGTGTGGACCTGGTAACCTCAACAGGAAAAAGATCTGTGTTTTGTTGCCAGTGCAGCTCTTTATTTATCATTATGAGCCGTTTTATCTGTGCAGTCTTCAGGTTTATCTGTTTGAATGAACACAGTCAACATTCATCCCATATCACACTCCTTAATTCAAGCCAAGCCAATCCAAAGACAAAGTCCCCATGGGTGTCCCAACAATGCAAAGTTTGCTCAGTATCAATAGAGTGTAAAATGAAACCATAAGTCAGAGTGGAAAGAGAGCCATAAAGAAAGCAGGGATGTTCCAGGCAGTTTACAGCTAATGTCATTATCAGGAGCAGAGAATCAGGGGCATTTCACTGGACGACAACACACAGACAGAATGAATATTACAAGGACTGAACTTGTGACTTGAAGCGCCCTGCTATCTTGTATTATTGGCCACACGAGGAGGACAGTTGCCGAGCAGAGTTGCAGATGTTCTTGTGTTTAGTCTATAATTTACTCCACTGTGTTGGAGCTTCAATAGATCTCTGCAGGCCATAGTCACTCATCCTCCCTGGTTACAGTCCTCCCCCAAACCTTCACCAGTTCTCCTGACACGGATTTTTCCTGCATCACATTCTCCCTGATTCCTCTGTTCACCCTCCTGACTGCCCACCTCCTAATTCCTTATGACCAACAGGCATTTTCAGAGACCTGAACATTTGTGCAGCCATTTTTTAACAGATCAAAACACCATCTGTACAACAGCAGGGGGAGCCTTCAGTGAAATGCTCGACGAAGCGTAAAGCTCAGAACCTTTTCATGTCTGTCCTAAAACTGTAATCTTCCCTTCGAGAGGTTTGTTCTCGTCGACGAGCAGTGTCTACGCTCTGAGTGGCTGCTTCCGCTTCAATGCAGAAATAAAGATGCAAGAAATTGTCAAGCAAGCATTGTTACCAAGCACCAAACTGTATTTCCTGTTCCTCACCTGGTCAGGTGAGTGATACTCCACCCAAATGAGTGTTTGAGCTTCGTCTACCAGCTCAGCTGTGACCAATTTTATATGCAAGACAAACAGAGGCGGCACGATGTCGAGCAGCATATTCAAGTTTGACTGTTTCTCCTCACCGTTCAGCGTCTGAGAAGATGGATTGCATTTTGACGGGGGGGGGGGNCAATAAAGGGTGACTGACCAGGAAGTGAATTCCCCTGTTTGTTTTATTGGTCACAATGTGGGAAGGTCCCAGTCTGAAAGCTCACTGCAACTCAGCTGCTACACAACTGCTCAATACTGGTGGGACTGACTGCTGGCCCGCCCCCACCTCAGAGAGAAAAGAAAACGATACAGTGGCATTTATATTGGAAACACACACACACACACACACACACACACACACACACACACACACACACACACACACACACACACACACACACACACACACACACACACGACAGATGGTTTTGAAGCTAGACAACTAAAGAACTGTCTCTTGAACAGGAAGAATAGTTTCCCAGTAGGTCACCAGACTAAAACAGAGCTGTGTTGTGTCTAGTTATCCCCATTTCAAAAGAAGAAAAAAATAATTTGAATTTAAATGATTATAAATCAGCTGTTTTTGCAGATGGTGATCTCATTTTTAGTATGGTAGAGTTTTCTCATTAATCATTTAATCATGCAAGATTTGTTTTTAAAACTTAACCACTCATTATTGTCAAAATTGTATTAGCAAAAATCGCTCATGAACCCTTCGACAGGTTTTAATGAAACTTTTAGAAAGTAATCCTTGCATGTCCATCTACAACCGATTAATTTTTGTAGTTAGCCCTATTTAAAATTGTTACCACAGCCGACCGAGATTAGGAGACACAAAAATGTTTATAATGTCCATTAACAGATACTGAGCTTAAACTAGGTGTAGTAGTACCTGAGCGTAATTCAGTCGTGACTGATGCAGCTGGTGAGACCTTGCAAAATTGTAGGAGCTTGTGCACAATGTTTGACCAAAATGACTATAGCTCCATCCTTCTTCATTATGTTATATATGATAAAAAATAAAAATGTAAAAACAAAAAAAAAACACTGTTGTAAAATATTTTTCTTCTTGTCAAGTGTTACAATAAAGTCTATACAGTACATTCCTGTATCATGTGTAATATCCTTTGTGTGATTAAAAGGAGAGCCTGCAAGTGTGGAAACCTGCTGACTCACACAATGAGTGTCTCATCACACACACACTCCCTGCTCAGGTGAAGGGAGTGTCTCATTTATGGCTGATAAATTACATGAGGAGGAGGAGAGAGAGGGGTGTATGTGTGTTTGTTCACAGCATTGCAGTGATGATTTAAATGTTCAGCAACGTGACAGCAGGTTGTTTCTGTCACGAGCGCTGAACAAAGTGAAAGCAGCCTGCACCAATGTGTCACTGCTCGCACAATAAAGACGGCTGCGTGACCGAAAAAGAAAAAAAGCGGGGAGAAAAAAAAGCAGAAGTTCAAATTTGTCTAGTGCTTAAGACAAATAAAGCACTACAACTAAACTGAGCAGAGTGTGAAAGACATGAGAGCTCGTCTGTAGCTTCTGATCCAAGATGAGAGCGACTCACGAGAGATGCAGGCAGCCGACTAATGTGAGGCCACGCAGAGAGAGCTTTGATGTTATAGCCATGATCCAGCTGATTCTTGTTCAGTGGGGTCAAACGGCTGGGTTGTACCCGCTTTCCATCCTGTAGTGAATTAGAAATCTGGCACAAACCTCAAATAGCGAGGTACAAACAGCCGAGTCAGAAAGGTGAACTACATTATGGACAGGGCTCATTTACATGAAGCATTGAAGATAACGTAAAGGCAGAAGCACAACAGATCTAAATTGTTCACTTCTGTAGAGAACTGGTAAATTACTGACTTACAGTTACTCGTGTAAATACAAGTAACCTGCAGCAGCACAGGCTTTTTCCAGTTAGGAAAAAGTAAAACAAAATCCTACTAATAGAAAGGCTATAAAAACGTTCAGGTTGTTTCAGATTACAAAACTTGCTCTTCAGGTGCTCCTGCACAAAGTGGCTATTAGCCTGGGCATGAGTAATCGTTTCTGCTTCTCCAAACACAGAGCACACTACACTCTGGCTACTACGACTTAACACGGATTACTCCTGTCAAAAAGAGACTTAACTCAATTTACAAGATACGAGTGAGGCAACAGATCCATCATGGACAGAAAGAACAATACAGAGTTAGCATTGAAGCCAAAAGCGATGGGTGTCAGTGACGGAGATATCCCAGCCACAAATTTTACCTAAAAACAGATATGCTTTATATCTGCCACGAATACTGAGCATCAGCATCATATGACTTGTTCTTTAATGCTTGTGTTTGGTACTGAAAGGAAAATGCATGTGTCTGCTGAATTTATACTGCTCATCTTTAAGCCAGAGGGAACTCCGTTTGTTGCAAATACTAATCATGAGACTACAAACTATGTTTAGACTTTTTCTTGACCATCAATGACTTTTTTTTGTTCTCTAATCTTAAAGATGATTTTCTTGGAAAACCAATGGTTATTGTATGCAAAGCTTCAAGTACGGAACTTAAAATGTTAGCTTAGAGGTAATTCAGCTGACATCACCTACAATTTGTTACTTCTCTTCTGGCACAAACTACATACCGCACGCAAACCATTTCATTATTGCAAACAAGACTGGCAGTGGTAAAATAATAGAGAGGCTGTTTATTGTACTGTACATCTCCAAATACTCTAAAGACAAAACCCAGGCTTTGGAGCTTAAAGTGGTTAGTAAAATACAAAACCCACATTTTTAATAAGTCTTAAAACACAGATGCTTTTTCACATTGCTTTTATTTTTGGTGTTTTGTGTGGCAAAGGGCCATTGTTTGGGAATAATTCATTACAGATTCAAGGCTAATTTCTGAATTGTTACAACTGTATACATAGGAGGAATAGATGTCTCAACAAGTACATGGATAATAAATGACAGCATACACGTTCATTTCTTAAAGTAGCAGCACATGACACGAAGGCTTTGATAAATAAAAACAAATAAAGAAGGGTGTCGACACCAAAGCAGCAGAATGTGAGCACAAAGCGTGACCACCAGAAAAGCAGGTTCTTCTTCACAATGCCAGACAGGTTTTGATGACGTTTCCTGTTGAACCCGCCTGCTTCCTCATGCAACGCTCTTTATTAGCTGTTGAGCGTTTTCATTCTGGGGAAGAGAAAACTCGCCGCAAACATATGTAGCCAATAAAGTTTTTGACGTCGGTGGCTCGTCCAGTTTTCGTCGGCTTGTTCAATTCGTTGTGACGCCGACGCTTTCAAATAACTCCAGAGAAAACATACACCTATGTTTGCACTGACTCAGTCATCCATTCTCTGAATCTGGCCTCACATCACTAAGAAAAAAAAAAAGACTATTGGATTAAATTTCTCATTTCCATAAACAAAAGCATTTTTTAAGAACAGCCCTTAATTTAGTCCAGCCTAACACAAGCCCTGTGCTTGATCTTTATTTGACCTTTTAGACTCTTCCTTTTTACCTAACCTTCCTTCATAATTTAAATCTGACCTCAGAATGACTCTGGATTAGTTTTGGTTCACCAAAGGACACCAGACCCCGAAAAGGTCAGTGTTCATCTCAGAAGAAGCTTTAAAACTCAGAGTCATATATAAGGCTCCTCCTTTAGAGCCGGTTGTGTGTGAATGTTTGCCTGATCGTTTCCAAGAAACAAGTAGTGTTCTTTTTCTGCCTCTTTATACTGAAAATATTTTCAATTTTCATCTGTCCGCTGATGTCAGTAAAAATAAAAGATATACCAAAAATCTTAATAAATCAGCCAAAACATGTTTGTTTTTAAATCTGGTCTGAAAAACGAGTTAAACTGTTCAACAACTATCAGATTTGATACCAATTAACTATTTATCATCTAAAAATATTGGTCATTCAACAAATTGAGTTTGCTCTTCATGTGCAATATTTGTGAGACTCCCCTCATTAACAATCCCCAAAGACATGAAGCATTATGTCTACGGGGTCACCAAACACAAAAGAAGGAGATGACGATGGGGTAAAGACAAAAAGCAGACATCCTACATTAGGCTGGAAGGAAGTGAGCAACATGAGGTCAAACATACTGATAAATACAGCTTACGTGTTTATCTGAGGGAAGAGAGTGAAGCGAAGCAAACTATTCAAATTTATTGTAAAATGTGACGCTCATTTTCAGGCTTAAGGATGAGTAGGAATTTACAAAACCAGTTTTTGTAGTACTTGTGTGTGACGTAATTTCTGTCTTTTTCACTCAGTGTTTTCTTGTTTAAATGGATAACTTTCACAAACATGTACACCTAAAAAAATACAATTGTTGAAAAGTTAATTAGTTTAAAAAAAGGATTAAATAAATAGAACTGCCTTTGCATGCGTGGGTTCTCTCCGGGTACTCCGGCTTCCTCCCACAGAC